TGGGCAGGTCATCGCTTGCTCAAGAATCACTTGTAGAAATTCCTCTAGTCTCGCGGACACTCTCAATGATTGGCTGAGGGAAGGTGTGAAGAATGGAGGCATCACTCCTGCCGCCTTCTCGACATGCGTCTCTCTAGCAACTGGTGACTCATCTTTCCGCGGTGGCAGTTCTGGAGCAAGCGCATGGTGTGGCAGTAGCACCCGTGTGCTTGATGTCGTAGATGGTTGGAGTTTGGGAATCCTCATTGGTCTTTGGGTCATCACTGCATTCGTCTTCCTCATATGCATCGGTAACTGCGTTTTGATATGCGGAAAGAAGAACCGATCTCAGCAAGGAGTGGTAGTGGCCAAACCAGTGCAAAGCACCGCAGGCCAGGTCTACTATACTCAACCAGGTTATGGTGAACAAACTGTAACGAAGGTTTAGATCGACAGCTCATGCCTCAGTCGATGGCCCCTTCCGGGTGTCTCATAGAGACCAGCACATTCACAGTGTTGAAAGTGCTTTCAATTTCCTCTCATTATTTGTAGAACTATTAAATATTATGGAAGCATAGTGTTGTTAGATCTTCATTGGTGAACAGCTTCAATCACGGTGATTTCTCTCCATTTTTCCCTTTCCGTATCGTGTTGTGTTGTACTAGTTCCTCGAGGCCGAATTCCCGGATGAGAACTTAGGGTAACAGCACGGTATCCTGTAACAGGATAGGGGGAGAAGTCCTCTCAACTTACTATTTGCGACAATAAAATAATCGTTCGAATCAAAGACATATTCATTTACCACTCTCGTCTCGTATGAACCTTTTCTTGCGGATCCGTTTCGTGGATGATTGCAATCAGCAAAGTCCACGAGAGGGAGATTTCGGTTACCAAGTCATACATGGGTACGATAAAGTTGAGGTATAGAGAGCAACTCAATTCGATCGGCATCACAGACACGTCACACAGTGATGGTGGCCCGCTCCCATCCCTATTCGAGGGGTGGTAGTCTCACCATCAGTCGCCTCGTTTGTAGTACCAAGGGCATCAATTGTGACCTCCATAGATGTGGCAGCATAAGTAGACAAGATCAGAGTATCACCTGTGGTGAGGACACTGGTAGCGACAGCGTCAGTCGTAGTGGCACCAGCTGCGGTATTCACACTGCGAGTTTCATAGCGGATTCCAGCTGCTTTGGTTTGTCTCAATTCCAAGAGTGAGTGAGGTATATGAGACTGATTCAACCAGACTCAGCCAGATATCAACGAGAAAAACGACCCATCCTCTTCGTTTCCTCTGCTTGTACTAATTTCTGAGGTTGCGGATGCGTCTGGCTCCCGAATCCTTGCGCACTCGGGGTGCACTTGCGCACCGGTGATGGTGTGAACTGAGGCGACGTCCTACGACCTAGCCAGTTCGTTATCACGACTCTTGAATCAGGAGTGCCGGTGTACATCCCTGCACTTGAGTAGTTCTATCTAGTTGCGGCAAGGTGCGCTCGAGTATCTACTGGACTCGGTACACTCTGTAATTCAGAGGCAATGTCGTTGTTAAGAAGGAAGCAGGTTAATAGGAAGATATTGATATGGCTCCACAGCATATGAGTGAGGTAAGGTGATAGCATCTGTCCAAACGCAAAGACATCCAGCCTTTCTACATACCCATTGACTACATCAGTGCTCCCCTCAACTACTCAGAGTTGTCCACTATCGTGACAATCCACTACTGAGTGGTGGGGCGTCACCTCGAGCCCCCCCCCCTTAGGTCGATGAGGCGGCCCGTTGCTATCAACGCAAATCGAAAGCAAGCACTCATTAATTCATTATCAACACGTCATGCAGTGCCGCAGTTTTAGGAAAAAGCGGTCCACCGAACATTCCAAAGCTTCATTGCACGTAAGTCTACGTACTCGGACTGATAGTTGTCTCAGCATCGACCTCTCCAGTGGTGGTAGCTGAGGCTTCGGTGATAACCTCGCCCGTAGTGGTGACACCAGAACCCGTAACTGGAGAATCTGTGGTGGTTGAGGCATCGGTGGCGACTCCTCCGAACGTGGTTGCATCAACCGTCGTTGGCACCTCAGTAGATTCCCCAGCCACGGTAGCCTCGGTCGTTGTCAAGACTGCGTCGTCCGAAGTTTCAGTAGTGACCTGCCATGAAGTAGTCGCAGCATTGGTCTGCTCAGCCGAAGTTATCATCTCAGTAGTCGTGGGAGCTGCAGTAGTGTCTGCTACTCCACTTGTCACAATAGTCGTACTGGCCGTGCCGGTAGTGTCGACAGCAACAGAAGTGGCCGTATTGGTTTCTTCGGGGGCGGCTGTTGTGCCGTCCTGAATTGTGGTAGTCTCAGTGACTTTATCGGTGGCTTCACTTGCAGTAGTGGTAACTGCAGCAGCCTCGCAAGTGCATGGCGCATTGGATGAATGACAGGTGCTTGGTGTAGCCCAGTACTTGCAGTAGGAGCCAGGAGTATCCGAGGCACAACCAGCGTCACAATTACGGGGGGCTTCAGTTGTTCCACCCGACCCGCAGGAACAAGGGACGTTGGAGCCAAAGCACCTGCTGGGGGTCTGCCAGTATTTACAATACGACCCGGGATAGGTGGCGGCACACTCGGCATCGCACTCGGTGGTGTTACCCATCACGTATGTGATGCCCTGAAGAACACTGAGACCAACGATGACGAAGGGGAAGGAACGGATAGTCATCTCCCACGAATGTGAATAAACTGCGGGAAGTGCGGAGCCAGACTGGACCTGCGAGGGCCTATGCCAACCCCATAGATTGATGCTAATTAGGCAAATCGTTCAAGCCTTAGTATGTCCAATGATGTTCGTTCACTGTAGCTGAACAATAGTGCGCCCGATTTCTATCTCGCCTAATCGTTTCACAAGATACTGCATCTTATACAGTGTGGTGCGCGGTGCGTTCTCAGCCGCTCTTCTTCCCAGAAGTTTGGTCGGCTTCTCGCAAGCACCGTTTTAACTGATTAGACATCTCCTGGTTCGGGTCTGCGGCTCGTTCTGATTGCCAAGGCAAATGTGATGATCATGCAGGGCAATCGCTCGTCGCCGCTCACTATCAGCGCTTAGGGGAATATATTCCAGATTACAACGGGCAGTGTAACCTGCAGCGATCAGCTTCGTGAACGTCTTCTAACTCTGCGTGGCTGTAGCGCACAGTTCATGACTCCTCATCGGGTCAGACTGGAACTTCCTCATTGTCAATCGATTTTCTGTCAAGGCATAATCTC